ATTTTGGGAGGCCGAGGTGGGTGGATCACTTGAGGTCAGGAGTTCAAGACCAGCCTGGGCAACATAGTGAGACTCCCTCTCAAAAAAAAAAGTATATTTAAAAAAAAAAAGCAGAGTGCCTTTGCCATTGTTTTAGATTCACTTCAAACCTTCATCCCCCAAATCTGTTTCTCTACCATTTCTACGAAGTTTTTGTGAACATGATCTTCACTGTTCGGGAGGGAAATCTCTGAAGTCACAAAGTAGATTTTCATTTGAGAAAACAGGGACGTCACCACGAGTTATAGCACTGCCCCTGGCAGATGCCCAGGATCGTCGTTCATTTCTCTCCACTATTTCCACGGCCTTCTGCAGGGGAAGGGGCAGGGCACTTAGTAGATTAGGGAAGGAGGAGCCTGACTTTGTTTTTGCCAACAGCTCGAAAACTGTGTGTGCGGAACCTACACACGGCTGGTGTGTGTGCACAGACTGCATTATCCTTGCTTGTTTATTTTTTTGGAATCTGTTATCTTTGTACCAAGGGCAAAATGAGTGTCTTTGATTTTACCTTTGAGAATAATTTCGTTGTTGATTCCACAAATGTGTGAGTGTCTTCTGTGTGCCTGGCCCTGTTGGAGGCATGCATGGCTGACAGAGCAGCAAACAGCAAAATCCCTGCTAGAGGGAGGCAGCAGGAGCTGCCGGGACCCCGTGAATGGTATGATTGCTCATGGGGCCCAGGCAGTGGCTGAGTTGGTTACAAGCATGCGCTCGGAGTCTGACTCTGGATTCCAGCCTCAGCTCTGCCACTTGCCCTTGTAGAGTTGGGGAGGTCAGCCTCTCTGCACCTCAGTGTTTCCATCTGTGACATGGAGTGATGACCGTGCTGCCCTCGGAGTGCTGTTATGAGGTTGAAAGAAACTAATGGATATAGGAAGCGCTGACAGCAGTACCCAGCCCACTGCAGTCCGTGTTCAGTGTCTGCCATCACTGTTATGTGAGAGGCATGGTGTTATGCCGGGGAAAGGGAGGGGGAATGCACAGACCGGTAGGAGACTAGGAACAGCAGTTCTCCCAAAGGGCCAGCCAGGGTCAACTTTGCGGAGAAGGTGGTGTTGAAGGAAGCCTGGAAGGGAGCAATGGGCTGTGCCACGTGAACCTGGCTATCCTGGGGAGCAGCCCCCACCCCAGCAGGGTGGCCAGGGGGAAGGCCCTCCCTTTGGGGCATGTCTGGGGCATTCATGGAGTGGCCTGGTGGTCAGCGTGTCTTGGAGGAATGAGGTCAGGGCGTGGCGAGTGACTCGGCAGACCATGTGAGGACTTTGCCTGTTGCTCTGGGTGACATGAGAGCCGAGGGAGGTGGAGGGCTGGCTCCCTCTGACTTAATTGTAATAGGACTGTGGTGGCTGCTGGTTGGAAGTAGGCCTAGGAAGGAAGCAGGGACACCAACGAGGACAAGGAGGGGATGACAGTGGTGTGGACCCCCAGTCTCCTTGGAGGAGGTGAGGGGTGGGCAGGTGTGGGCCAGAACCTGAAGGCAGAGTCCTCAGGAACTCCTGGTGGCTGGATGTGGGGCGTGAGGGGAAGAAAGCCCTAGGGATCACCTCTGGTGTGGCCTGGCCAGACCTGATGGAGCTGCCGTCGACCAGGATGGCCAAGTCCATCAGAAGAGCAGGGGTGGGGGCAGCCGGTGCTCAGTTCGGTCTATGCCAGGCCTGAGATGATGTCCCATCTCAAGATGTTTCCTGGACCTGCTGTAACTAAGTACACAAACTGAGAGCTTAAAACAACACAAATGGGCCAGGTGCAGTGGCTCATGCCTGTAATCCCAGCTCTTTGGGAGGCCACGACGAGAGGATCACTTGAGCCCAGGAGTTCAAGACTAGCCTGTGCAACATAGTGAGACCCCTTCTACAAAAAATAAAAATAAATTAGCCAGGCATGGTGGTACACGCCTGTGGTCCCAGCTACTTTGGAGGCTGAGGTGAGAGGATCCCTTGAACCCAGGAGTTTGAGGCTGTAGTGAGTCATGGTTGTGCCACTGTACTCCAGCCTGGGCGACAGAGTGAGACACTGTCTCAAAAAGAAAAAAAAAAAAAAAGACCCAGGATTGTATTATTTCACAGTTCTAGAGGCAAGAAGTCTGAAATCAAGGTGTTGGTGGGTCCATGCATCCTCTGAAACTCCAGGTGGAGCCATCCGTTCCTCTTCCAGCCCCTGGCCATGGTCCTCAGTCCTTGGCGTTCTTGTGTCACTCCCATCCCTATCTCTGCTGTCACTTGGCACCCCCCTGTGTGTCTGCTTTCCGTGCATTTTCCTCTGCCCAGAAGGACGCCTGTGATACTGGATTAGAGCTCACCCCCGTGGTCCTCACCTTCACTTGATTACCTCTGTGAAGACCTTTTTTCCAAATAAAGGCACATTCACAGGTGCAGGGATTAGGACTTCAGCATCTCTTTTTGGAAAACACATCTCAACCCATAAAAGATGACTATTAGCCAGCCAGGGGGAGGTGTTGAATGTAGAACCCAGAGCGCATGCGCAGGCCTGGGCTGAGCTGTAAGCCTGGGGATCGTCGACACGCGGATGGCATTTGAAGCCTCGAGACTCAGTGGGAACACCAAGGGTGTGAGTGGATGGATCCCAGAAGTGATTCCTGAGCTGAGCCCCGGGAAAGTTCAGCAGGTCAGGGAGATGAGAAGCACCCAACAGTGAAACTAATGTGAGGAGTCAGGGAAGGAGGAAGTCAGAAAAGTGTGGGGCCCAGGATCCAGAGTGAAGAATGTTTCCGGGAAGAGGGAGCGAGACTGAATCAGATCCTGCCGACGGGTCATCTCAGAGGCAAACGCTGGACCCAGCTAAACTGAGGTCCTTGGCAAAATTATTCTATAATTGTTGCTAAGATAATCCTAGGCAAAAACTTGCCTATTTTGCCTTTTCTTTTCTTTTCTTTTCTTTTTTTTTTTGAGATAGAGCATCATTCTGTCACCCAGGCTGGAATGAGGTGGTGCGATCTAGGCTCACTGCAAGCTCCGCCTCCTGGGTTCAAGCAATTCTCCTGCCTCAGCCTCCCGAGTAGCTGGGACTACAGGCATGTGCCACCACGTTTGGCTAATTTTTTGTATTTTGAATAGAGATGGGGTTTCACTATTTAGCCAGGATGGTCTCGGTCTCCTGACCTCATGATCCGCCCGCCTCGGCCTCCCATAGTGCTGAGATTACAGGCGAGCCACCGCACCTGGCCTATTTTGATTTCTTTAGTCCATAGCTTTTTAAACTTGTTTTTCAACCTTTTGGGCTGTATCTATGTGGCCTATGTTTATTTCTAAAAGGTGTGTTCATTCTGTAACAATTGGGCATGTATCTGGACTTGGGATAGATGCTGGGCATAAAATGATGAGTAACATACACACCTGCCCTGAGACATGGTTCACTGGGGAAGATGAGTGAGACAACGGGATACAGGGCAACAGCCCAATAGCATTGGTCCCTAGGGGACTGCAGATTAAAACCACGGTGAGGTACCATTCCACACCCATTAGTATGGTTCACATTGAAAAGACCAACACCACCAAATTTGGGGGCGGATACAGAGTAAATACACCAAATGGCCCATGGATCCATCGCTCATGGGAATATAACCTGGTAGACCCACATTGCAGACCTGTTCAGCAGTTTTCTTTAAAACGTTAAAAATGTGTCTAGTCAGCCGGGCGCGGTGGCTCATGCCTGTAATCCCTGCACTTTGGGAGGTCGAGGCAGGCAGATCACGAGGTCAGGAGATCGAGACCATCTTGGCTAACACGGTGAAACTCCGTCTCTACTAAAAATACAAAAAACTAGCCGGGCGTGGTGGCGGGCGCCTGTAGTCCCAGCTACTCAGGAGACTGAGGCAGGAGAATGGCGTGAACCTGGGAGGCGGAGCTTGCAGTGAGCCGAGATGGTGCTACTGTACTCCAGCCTGGGCAACAGAGTGAGACTCTGTCTCAAAAAAAAAAAAAAAAGTATCTAGTCTATGATCCAAAAAGTTTCACTCCTAGGTATTTACCCAAGAGAAATGAAAATGTATGTCTGCAAAAAGACCTATACAGTGTGTCCATAGCTGTCTTATTCATAGTAGCGTCAAACTGGACACAACTCAAGGGCGCATCAAAAGCAGAGGCAAATTATCGTGTGTCCCTGCACAGTGAAGAGAAACAAAGGGCTGATGCAACATGAGGATGTCTCAGAGACAAGCTGCACTTAAGAAACCATGCTAAAAAACAAACACACAGAAACCCGCATCATGACATTTATAGAATGTTCAAGAACTGATGAAACCAGTCCACGGTCACAAAAGCCAGAAAGTGGTTGCTTCTGGGGACCAGAAGGGAAAGGGGCATAAAGGGACCTTTTGAGGTGAATAGAAATTTCTGCATCTTGGTTTGGGACACATGCCAGAACTCACCAGGCGAACATTTAAGATCTTGCATTTTTATTATACACAAACTATATCTCAAATAACCTAAAAAACGATGCTTGTGACAGGTGTTCCCAGGTTCCGTGCAGGGAGGTGAGAGGCCACCACCTGCCATGAGGAGGCTGGGAGGCATCCTGGGGAGGGGAGGCCATGTTGGATCGGGGTTTCCAGGCGAGATTTGGAATAGCAAGGGGAGGGTGAGCCCAGTGGAGGGCTAAACCTGGCCAAAAGCCCGGCGACAAGAAAGAGCTCAGCCTTGGTTTCAAGCACCAACGGCCTAAAAAGGAAACCCCGTTATTTAACAGAATCCATTCTCTTTGAAGGCTCAGTGTGTATCTGAGACAAGACCCTTTTCCCCTCCCCAGTGCAAGCTTCTTCGTGGACTTTGTTCAGATTTCAGTTTTATAATAGCTTTTTGTATTCCCCTCATCAGTATACTTTTTTTTGTTCCAACTGATGAATTATTCTTGGTACTTAGTTTTAAAAAAATTATTCAAGAGTATTGCCTTATTAAAATAACTTGATGCTTTCTTTTTTTCTTTCTCTCCTTGAAACATAAAAGCTACAGATTCTCGTTGACACTGGAAGCAGTAACTTTGCCGTGGCAGGAGCCCCGCACTCCTACATAGACACGTACTTTGACACAGAGAGGTAAGCGCTGGCCCCTTGGCTGGTGTGCTGGGCTGGGGTACTGCATGATCCACATGCTTCAAAATGCAGCGGAGCATAACAGCCAGAAAGCTGTTTCATTTTAAGGGGGATACTGATACGGATGTGTATGTACATGTGCGTGTACATACATGTGGACATGTGTATGCATATGTGCATGTTCATTCCATCCTCAAATTCACAGCAGGGGTCTCCTGATAGCCTTCACGCATTTACGTGAGATTCGTTTTCTAAAAATCCAAGTCAAACACAACTCCTGTAGTTATCCAAGTCACAGGGAGCTTGTGGCCCTTTGGTGGTTATTGCAGCAGCTTTAGTTCTGCAGTGGAGGTGGGCTGGAGCAGGGGACAAGGTCTTGGGGGTCTGTGAGGCCACTCTGGCCAAGGATGTGGGGTCGCTTCCTCGGCTGAAGGGATACACGGAAACCCCCCTTCACATAGTTCAGTAGGGGTTAAGGTGTGGTTCCTGGAAGCCGTTTCTGTGGGTTGGTTTGCAACACTCATTTGGAAGAGTGAGTTTTGTGAGCACAAAGTATTAAGGGCCAAGACTGAGGCTGCACATGAACAATTATGGGGTGGAGTTGAGAAAAAAAAGTGGAGCCAGATGGAGGTCTCTGGAATAGAACAAGTTCTGTCCATGCAGGCTTCAGAGCAGCCCTGGGTGGGGTTTGGGGAGGCCCCCAGTGGCCTGTGGCAGCCTTCAGCTCTGCAGGAGCCCATGGGGTCTAGAGTCACCGCCCTCTGAACTGGAAGCTGCTCAAATGCTGTGCATGTTTTGATGTCACAACTATTTTTACGATCCTGAAATTTAAACTCACCAGACAGAACAGGTAAGCTGACGTGCTGGTTCGTTTTTTAGGGTCATGAATCATCTAGGGTCTCGGTAACTGTCATATTGGGTTTCCCTACTGTAAATTCTTTTCCTGACTTCCCTTTCTCACTTTCCTTATCCTTAGTGCTTTGTTCCAGGGAATAAAGGCCAGCTCTAGTTGGGGACAAAAGGAGAGGGAAGAATAGCTGAAGTCTTCTGAAAATGCCAGGCAATTTAATAAAGCGAGATGATTTGCCGTGTATGAAAGAAAGCATAGAGGAAACCCTGTATATCTATTCTACCTACGCCACATCCTGGGCTCCACTTTGGTGCCATAAATGACGGGGCCTCCTACATGTATGGCTACAGCTGCATGCTGGGGAGAGGGCTATGGTGGCCAGTGCTCTGTGAGGCTTCAGAAAAATGTGGCTGGCCCCTCCCTCAAGGAACTGATAGCTTGGTTTATGGCTTCATGTGTTGGTAAGCTTCCTTCATTGATATTCCCGGATATAACACCTGCCTGTGATCAGTATGTGGCCAGCTGTTGCTATAACCACAAACGTGTGTAGAAGTAGTGGTGGTGTTTCTCTCTGTGTGTGCAGCAGAGGCTTGGTTTACGATGGCTTGTGCTGCCCCTTCCCACTCAGATCTGTGATTCATCCAAGTCCTCAGTCCCCAAACAGCCCTCACCTCCAACTGTTCATTCTGAACTACTTCATCATGGAACAGGACTTGGAGTTGGTCCAAACCTCTCATTTTGATTTCCGCAGCACAGGAGGTCAGGGAGACAGGGGACTTGCCCAAATTCAATCATTGAGACCAGCAGTCCCCAAACCTTCAGCCAACACCCGCTTTTTATAACAAGTGCTTTGTCATTCCCTGAAGTGACTGCAAAAGTCATATGACTTATCTACACACACAGCTCAAAGTGCCCTGACGTAATGTGGGGGGAATACAAGGGAAGTAATGTATAACCAGGTAATCAGAACCTCAATGCATGAACACCCTGGCTCCATGGTGCTAGGAGATCATGCAATAGGTGGATGCTGGAGGTGAGTTAACATCACTGTGGACATGTACACCCAGTGTAGACTGATCAAGGCAGGCTGACTTAGACTCACCCACCCCAAGCTGCTCAGTTTGCTGTCTTAGTCTGTTGCGCTACTATAAAAGAATACCCAAGGCTGGGTAATTTACAAAGAAAAAAGGTTTATTTGCCTCATGGTTCTGCAGGCTGTACAGGAAGCATGGCGTCAGGATCTCATGCTGCTTCTAGTCATGGTGGAAAGCGAAGCAGAGCCAGTGTGCAGAGATCACATGGGAGAGAGGAAGCAAGGGTAGGGGAAGGACGTGCCAGGCTTTTTTTTTAACAATCAATCAGCCCTCCCTGGAACTAACAGAGTGAGACCTCAGTCATTATTATGGGCAAGGCACAAAGCCATTCTTGAGAGATCTGACCTCAGCACCTAAACACTTTCCACCAGGCCCCACTTCCTATACTGGGGATCAAATTTCAACATGAGAATTGGAGGGGACAGATATCCAAACTCTATCAGTTGCTGATATGATTTTCCAAAATGGAAAATAATCTTAGGAAAGTTCCAAGTAAAACGAACAGAAAGAGAATCAGCTTCCCTGGATTTCCATAGTAGCGAATATGCAATATACACTAAACCTATGTAGAAAAGGTTTTGTGCGCATATGAATGGGAGGTAAATTCTGTGCTCAGATGATCCAGCAGATTTCACCCATGCAGATGCCCAGAGCAACTTTGGAAAGTGGTGTGGGATGGGAACAATGCTTCATTTTGCATGACCGTCCTTCACATTCCAGGATAACCAGCATGCTTATCAAATACACGCCTAGAGTTTCCAAAACTTACCCTAGGGGACAGGACCTTCCTCTCTGAGAACCACTTATCTGAATGGTCCCTGATGATCCCAGCCCTGTGTTGTTTCCACTGCAGGGCTCTAGTCTGTGTGGCACGTTTTCCACGTTTCCCCCTGACTGGGGCTCAGCACATAGGGGCAGAACCAACACACGTGGAGCTTGCATTTTCTCATTTAGCAGTTCTTTTCCCCTTAGGATAGGTTTTTCTCTCATCATCTGTAGATGCAAGATACAGTAGAAAACAGTAAAGCACAGTAAAGTCAAGGTTAGGGTGATGTGGATAATGACTTTCCAGATTTAAAGGGAACCATGCAAGTCAAGCCCTGTGGATGGCTACTTTTTTCATGGCAGGTAAATAGCAGTTCTGTGGCAGCTGCTCATAGCCAGAGTCCGTCAAGGTCAAAGTATGCTTCTCAATCCCCACATCCTTTCGCTATGCAGATGCAATTGTTGAAACCTTCAAGGGTAAATAATACTCCACATCATGAAGACTATGTGCAATATTTCATCAACCGCAGACAGCCCAGCATCTTTCTCGGCTCCCTTCAACTGTGTTCAGTGTTTGGTTGAGCTGTGGTTCTCTTTCAGGCTACCATGGGACACATCTGTCTTACTTACCTGCTAGCCCTGTTTGGTGTATTCAGGTGGATTTTGTACCCATCACCAGGTTTGCATTCAAATGGCAGATGGTTCCTGTTTTTCATCCTTTGGGCGTCTGTAGTCCGTATGCGTTTGATGAATATGAAAACTCCTGGGATCATCCAGAACTCCTTTGATGACTAAGCCTTCCCTCCTGCTAATCTCACAAGATAATTCAGAATTCCTTGCCACCATTCTGACCACTCAAGGTCCTGATCTGTTTCTCCTTTTGTGGGTAAATAAAAAGAGAAATAACAGAACATACCAGTGTCTAGGGAAAGCCCCTCAATGGTCGGTTTCACCCCATTGCCACTTCCACCATTCAAATTCAGCGTACCTTCCTTATTCGCGAGTACTGCAGAGACTGACTTATTACGTATAACACATCGCTCACCTTTTGGGTCTCTACCCTGGTACCGCCTTTCTTTTCAAGAGACCATTCTTCAACAGAACTGTAAGGTTTCTTCTTGGCTGAATCAGAGATGATGCATCTCACTTCTGAGTTTGAGGTGAGTTCTATTCCTTCAACTACATCCCTGCTACCATGCTTGCTTCGCAAGTTAAATACTTTCTTAGATTGATATTAACCTTGTTTCCTTTTATCTGCTTTTTACATGTTTTATTATGGTTGATATGCTTTATGATTGAAAGACATGAATATTTTCTTTCAATGTCAGTTATGTATAATTAATTTGTCTAATGTTTTCATCTAACTTTAGAGTTGGCCTAAGTTATACTTTCAACCATTGTATTTGATGGGAGCCAAGAGACCGTCCTTTTGCCTTCTCAATTTTTGACAAAGGTTTCTTTTCTGAGCTGCAGCTCTCTGCCCTGTGATGTGTCTGTATTTGCTTGTGCTTCTGATCTCTCTTAGTTATAATAAGGTTCTGGTTGGGTTTGTCCGCCTCTGATTCACGTCCTGTCTTTGGATATTCAGGTCTAATGCTTCCTGAAACATGTTACAGTAATTGGAGTTTTGGCGTGGGGTTCTTTGACAAGATCTCTTTGATTTATGGAATGAGATGTCAGGCTACCATTAGTCATTTGTGAGCTCGTCTTTATCAGAATCCATCTTTTCATGGTGGTGAATGTTCCAGTGAGTTACTATAGAGCAAAAAAAGAAGAAAAGAAAAGATCATGCATTTTTTAAATGTACATCTTTTTTAGCCAATAAAATCTCACCTCCAGCTAGCTGGCTTGAAGAGTGATCCAGTATACTCATCCCTTGACCCTCCATGAATCTATTCAGGAAATTAAGTATATTTCCATTAAAATGTCTCCTTACTTCTGTACTATATCCGGGGTGAAGCTCACAGAGCAAGAGACCAATGTATTTTCCTCAACTAATGCTTGTAAGTGGAATTAGGGACTTCTTTTAGAAGGCTAAACTGGATACAGATTAAATGGTTTTCCGTTGAATGAGGACAGATATTTTTACCTGATTATTGAGATCATTTCTCAAGCATGTCCATCATTTGCCTGATAGAAGGGCACTTGCCATTTTGGAGCCTGTGAGCATTTAACGTTATTGAGGATGTTGATGAAACACCAGGCTGAGCAGGCTGAGCTGACCCTGAACCTCAGGGTCTCATGCATTCAGGTCTGGTGACTTCCAGAATCACAGAAGATTAAGAGGGGCATCT